AACCTTTAACAAAAGGTGAGGTATAGGAGAGAGGGGGCATGTGTTTCATTTCTCAGTTGATGTGAGCTTTATCACACACAGTATAGTATAAAGACTGCAAGGAATGATATGGCATAATGGAACTTATGGTGTGACGCATTATGCATCTGGTTTGACTTAAGTAGAGCAGCAATGATAAGTCAACAACAGAAAGACTATCTACGGGCCTTGTAATTATCAAAATGATCAAAAATCATCAACTGTTTTGACAATTGATTCATCTTATGATATCTTTACTGCAAAAAGTGGCAGATTTGTACCTCAAATGTGCAGATTTCCTGCTTTTCTTTATTGTATATCAGAAATAAGTGAACATCTTTTGTTTGTTTTTAGGATTTGAAGACATCGTCATAGACTTTGAGAAATTAAAAAGGATATATTTATTGTAGATTGAACGATTAATGATGAGTCTAGAAAATAATCTGCAGAATAATTGATAATAAATATTGTTGTTAGTTGCAGCCCTACCTTTTTGTCTATTTTGTTTCCATTTGACTAAGACTTCATCAATAATATAATGGCATTGATATATTATATAATGCCTAAATATGTCTCATGAGCAGTAAAGGGTGTCAGTATAAGTGATTATTGATTGTTTTTTGAATTACCTCCACACTGGAGGTCAGCATTGTCCCATTGAGCATTAGCTGAAGACGTTCAAATATGACGGTATTCAAAGGATGTCTAATTTCTTACTTTTTAGTTGTTTTATCCATTTAACTCATATGTTAAGCAAAGAATGACAGAGATGTGAATTTCTTTGAATTATTTATTATTTATCTTCTATAATAGTTGACTAAATATTTTTGGTTTTTTAGCCAAATTCCAAAGAATAGCACACATTGTAAATAAATAGTTGTATGAGCATTTTACCTATATTCATACATATAGGCCGACCATTTGATCTGTAATGAAATTATAGTTAGCTACAGCAATTTGTAATAACAATTCTTCATATTTTTTCATTATTTCATAATAAACCAAAAAACACCTTGGTTGTTCTTTTGTTGGCTCAAACACAAAGAGGAGGCAGCAGAGGTGGCATTTTATATTTTATGATGAGTGTATTCCTTCAATTGTACATATACCTAATTGCCTTTAAATGTCTTTATTAAATGACTTTTTAAATAATGAACAGGCCCTTGTATGTGGCCGGTCTTATAACCCCCTGATGATGGATGAAGTACAGACTGGACTGTAAAATAAACTCTGGTGATATTTGATTTGATTTTCTTCCTGGAGTCTGGTGCCACCATCCCCAACAGTATATACATGCTCCATGGCAACAACTGTGACCAAAGGACTAATGAAAAACATCAATATTGATTAGGGCACAACAGTTTTTTAGTCCCTTACGGAACTCAGCCTTTCCACTCCGCGGACAGCTTTAACGTTCCCTGATAGGGTTCCATCAAACACGCAGATATAAACGGAACATCTGCTGCATCTCTCGCCAGAGAACCTTCGCATCTCTCCGTCCTGACGTTTATTACGTAATAAAACACGAGAGTTTGTGCTTCTAATTCAAAACAGGCTGCAGTGGCCTGTGCATACATTGCTTGGTTGATTGTTGCTCATATGTTTATCTGCACCGCCAGAGACGTGCACACATAGACTCGGTAGTGCTTGAGCACCTGCCCGTTTTGCCCTCTGGACAGCAATGTGCCCTTTTGAAAGTTCGTTTTTTACAGTTTTTTGTATTTGTTATTACAGTGTACTGTATGTGGCTCATGGTAACATCGATCAATTCTGGATTAAAAGCTTCTAATATATACAACAATGCCCCAAATGCGCGTTGTAATTTTGTCAGACATCCCCACACGTGCCCCGCGGCACTCCCGTACGTGCCCTGGCTGCAGCCCCTCCCTTCCCTGCGCTCAACGTGAACGCGCAGCGCGCAGAGCTGACAGTCAGTCAGTCAGACAGGCCACGGCGGGTGTGTGGTGCAGCAGCACGCAGCAACACGATTAAAAGTGCCCTAGTGACGACCAAGTAAGTAACCACCAGGTAACAAATACAACGAGTGTATTGTTTAATCCCCTAAATCAGATGCCAAACTAAACTATACAGGGTTCGTACGGTCATTGAAAACCTGGAAAAGTCATGGAAATTCAAAATGCAAATTCCAGGCCCTGGAAAAGTTATGGAAAACAATATTTTTCCCAAAGTTTTGGAAAAGTCATGGAAATGTAACTAAAGTTGCGTCAAATATAATTTACATTTTATCTAATCGCCGAAATAATCTGCGGTCGCAAACTGTTATGTGCCATCATGACGCGCATGGTGTTATTTTTTAATATATGAAGCGCGAGCTGTGTGCTCGAGTCTTCTTGACTGTCGGGCCGGCTGAACTCTGCTGCTCCGGGATGAGGGTCAGCTAGGCTACATTATCTCTACGGTGTGTTCGTTAACTGTGCGGAGTCACTGTGGCACAGACTGCACCGCTGGTGAACAGCTGTTAGAACAGGCCGTTCAGGTGTTCAGAGCAGAGCGGCAGAGCGTGATGTGAACTGAAAAGTTTTTCTGTCGCAATATCATTGTCACTATCTGCTAACGTTAGCTTTAGCCTTCGTTTTCTAATAGTTTTTTTCATAGGCTATAAACAGAGGTGGTATAAGTATAGAGATTGTACTAGAGTAAAAGTAGAAGTACTCAGATCTTGTACTTTAGTAGAAGTACTCAGATCTTGTACTTAATAAAAGTAGAAGTACTCAGATCTTGTACTTGAGTAAAAGTAGAAGTACTCAGATCTTGTACTTGAGTAAAAGTAGAAGTACTCAGATCTTGTACTTGAGTAAAAGTAGAAGTACTCAGATCTTGTACTTGAGTAAAAGTAGAAGTACCAGAGTGTAGGAATACTCTGTTACAGTAAAAGTCCTGCATTCAAAATGTTCCTCAAGTGAAAGTAGAAAAGTATTATAAAAATAATAAGAGGCATGAAAATACATTTTCAAAATGCTCAACAGTGCTGCCAGAATTATAAACTGACTGCTACACAATTAAAATGCTTTTATATATTTATATTAGATGTGACTCTTTAGCGTTTCTGTTATTATTAACTGCTGCTTTAGTTGTTCTGACTGCTAAAATCCTCTGTTATTCCTCATTTTAAAGCCGATATTCCGTGGGGTCGGGGGGCTCGGATCCTTGTCACCTTTTTCATACCTGATGAGTTTGCATCCCTGACTACAGTTGCTTTAGCGTGTAGAAGCTAGTAAGCCTACTATTTGATTTGTTTTAGATAGGCATCTGCATCAGACAGTATATGGTTATTGAAATAAATATATATGCAATTACGACATACAAGATGTGCCTTTAATAAATCTCACACTACTAAGGCAGCCGGCGGTTCCACCAGGGGCATCAATCCCAGGGTGGGGGTTTCGTCCCCCCCTTAGCTTCAGATTGGACCCCCCTAAGTCATTTAGAATAATAAAAAGAAATGTTAAAATAATTATAATAATTTTTTGATAATAAATCAGTAAAATCAGGCAAAAATAAGAATTAAATAACATAACCCTAACCTAACCCTAACACCGAAATAAAGTAATCAAAAACCGAAAAGAAACTAACAAAATCCGCCATTATCCGGCAAATTTTTCCGCACAATTTCGGCGCGACCGCCACGACGACTCAGAAGGTGCCCTTTTTGTTTCTCTTGAGCACCTGCCCCTATAAATGTCTGTGCACGCCACTGTGCACCACCATCTTCTCGAACCCCCTCACCCCATCTGAGCCCTCCCACTATATTCCCCTTTTTAAAGAAGAAACTGCTGGGAGTGTGGTCCAACGTTGGGGATGAATGGGGAAGGGCTGTTGTCCCCTCCGGGAGTGGTGTTGGGTGGAAGAAGAGAAGAAAGAAGAAGAAGAAGAGAGAGAAGAAGAAGAAGAAGAAGAAGAAGAAGAAGAAGAAGAAGAAGCATCAGAAGACAAGAAGAAGAATAAGAAGAATGAAGAAGAAGAAGAAGCAGAAGAAGAAGATAGAAGAAGAAGAAAGAAGAGAAGAAGAAGAAGAAGAAGAAGACATATTTTATTAATTTAGTGGTTATACAGTTTGCAGTTAAATACACATGTGCAAATAGGAAATTAAATAAGTTATTACAAATACAAACGCATGTCATAATGCAGTGGTGTCAGAGCAAAGGGGCTGCCATTTTCCCATGCCCTGGGGGTTCGGTGCCTTGCTTAAGGACACCTCAACAGGGCCTAGGAGTCACACTTCTACCAGCACCAGTGTACACTACTATTTGCTTTTGTTGGTGCGTATGGGGACTCGAACCAGTGACCATCTGGTGACAATCCAATTCCCAAGCTAAGTCCCTACTGTTGAGAACAATATTTAAAGGTCTTTTACCCAGTGTATCACTCAGATTTGGTGTGGCAGGATCTATATCCCTTCGTTGATGCAGCCAATGTCTTTGTCAATTATCCCGCTGTAACTCCCAATAAATCTTCAGTGTCTGTCATCAGTCGAGCTCTCCAGTGTGCTCCGTAACTTCAGAGTCCTTGCTCCAGAAACGTTCCCTATACTACTTCCACTTCTATTAGGCAGCTATTATATAGAGCGCCTAGGGAGGGGGTCAGGGGCATTTCGGCCATACTTGGTCATTCCGGGACTTGAACCGGCCATATTCCAGTTCCCAGGTCAAGTCCCTACTGCCAACATCAGCTCATGAGCACCCCTCCCTGTCACCTCTTGTTTGTCAAATGTAATTTCCTGACCCTGTTCTAGACAAAAACGTCATTTGTAATAGCCTCATGGTAACAATGGCTCCCCCATTGGATGAGCGTGTTTTGCATTCATGACCTCTGTCCCCCACGGAGACAGCAGATGTGACAGTGGGACTGGAGGGTGTTTGCAGTGCTCATATTTGCTGTGTTATGCAGTGCATACTGAATCATGGCCTTCTTTTCTTCTCTTTTCATCCTTGTGTGTGTCTGTTCTTCTCTTCTTTCTACAGTAGCTCAAAATAAACACCTCAGTCTGCCCACTGGGATGCTTTTGTCCCGCCGTCTATTGTCCCTCGAAGCAGGACGCTGGCTGATAAGGAGCCATGCAGCTCAGGACCAATAAGAAATGGGTTTGGAGTGGGGGGGAGATGAGCTGTAAATCACCAGCCTTGCCCTTGTCTCACCCTCGCTCTGTCTGGTCTCTATTAGCAAATATAGCGGCTACACCACTTTCAAGAGACAATACATATGATGATGGCTTAGTTTAACTTTAGTGCTGCGTGATAATGGATGAAGTACAGCAGTATTCACATTAACATACACACAGGTCATCGTGTGGCTATCCCTCAAGCTGTTCATGAAGGAGATTATGAGAGGAGGTGTGTGACTGGAATACCAAGTGAGTAACTGCCCATCAATGTCAATTATGCCTTCACACCTCCAGAAAACATTCAACTGTAACTTCTGGCATCCCGGAAACACACTCACCTACCAACTCGGCTGCATGTACAGATTATTTTCTTTATGGATCAATCATTTGGTCTTTGAAAAAAGTAAAAATTACCATTCCAGTTTCTCAAAGTTCAAGGTGATGCATTTGAATGTCTTGTTTCTTCAAGACAAAACCCAAATATATTCACATTAAAGGATTAAAAAACAGAAAAAATGAATCTTAATATACGATAAATCTTTGCAATTGTACTTCCTTCAAGTAAGAAACTGATAACACCTCTGACAGTTTCTCAATCCGCTATGTACAGTACCAACAGTCATGCCATTGGCAAGGATAGGATATGTCTCGCATGATTTACTTATGTGTTCTCGAACATGCCTTATAGGAAACTATGGAGGGATTATGTTTGAGTGTTTGTATTTCCTTGCATAAGGAACACAGTATGTGGTTTACTATTTAAAGCTGTCTCTCTGCGTTATTCACCGAGCTCGATAAACTACTTTGGCCTAAATGTATAGTCTGATCATTAAAACATCACAAATAAAACATACCAGGGAAATGTTCCTGTCTAGTGATGTTATCATGCCATGGGGAGGCTTGCAGCAAGGACTGATTATTAACCAGCCTGTATGAGCAATAATCACCAGTCCATTACAGTACGTATAGCATCATTTTAGTATTTTTAAATAAGCATTTTGCTCCAAGCCACACAGCAGGAAGGTGTTCCATTTGCTGTAGCTAAAATATGCAGACTTATTTAAGATGTATATGCAGATTCGTTTTTTGTGGTGCAAATGGTATGTCTTTTTATTTGGCAACTGGTCTCAAATTTAGAGTTTTTACTTAAACAAGTACAGTGTCCCTGTTAGGCTATACTAAAATGCAGTGCTTTTAGCTTCAGAAAAATACTTACATTCGTATGCTAGTATCAGCTTAAATCAGGATTGTACGCCAAGACCAAATCTAAAGGCAGTTTTAACCAAATTAAAACCAAGTCAATAGAATATCTAGTCCTGTTTAAGCCCATATGAAGACATTATCTTCCCAATGCTAACCCTCTGCTCACTTGATCAACTGTATAGCTGTATAGCTTGGATTATAGCTCAATTTGGAAGAAGGAAAAATACTAGATAATAGAGTTCACGTGTAATGAAGGTTTCAATAGTAAATGCAGCCAGATTACTGGCAAAATGCATCACACCCAAGACCAGGCAATTCCAAATCCAATTATGCATAAGTCCAACAAGTGCGGTACTTAAAAATGGTCTCAAAACAAAAATATGCCCAACCCTAGAGCCACACCTTGGCTTAAAATGACCAACAAAAAATCATTGAAAAAATTTAAATACTTTCCAGCTTGTTTTTTGTTGTTTATCGAGAAGACCTACCATTTCATCTCTAGTTCTTTTTATTCCCTTAACACAGGATTCGCACGTCTGGTCCTCTTCTCAAGGTCACAGCGGAGAAGGTCTCAGGTCTCAGGTCTCAGGTCTCAGGTCAATAATGCATGACATTCTTTGCAGAGTGCTCCACTGGGATGTCGCTGCTGCTCTTAATGCTAGCTCCTCTGTGCAGAAAGAGCTCCTGCTGGTGTGACACATGGGCTTGCTGTGTGATGTTTCATCACTGTTGTTATTATTCAGGCTCGCTGGGGTTCCTGGAAGGGGGGTGCCATTTTGTCGTCATGGTTATGTAAGGGATTATGTGCAGCGATCCGGTCATTACTGAGAAAAGAACCCAGACAGGGTGAGCAGGGCCTCGACGTCAAGTGCAAATAACACATTGCTTCCACTAAGAAAAAAAAGTCTGTTCTGAACTGCTGAGCTGCCACGGCAACAACATAACTTAAAATGATGGCAGCACTGATGGAGGTTTTCTGCCTCTTAACGGTCAGTCAGTTCACATTTGCTTTTCCATGAACCCATCTTTAAACACTGCCAGAGCCCATACCGTGTTCCTGGTTTACTTCTTCTGCTGATTCCAGCTCTTTTCACCACTTTCCTTTTCTTGCGCCGTTTTCTTGTCTTTGTCTTTCTTTACTGAGGACAGTTTTAGGCATCATAAATCCATAGTTTCGTGTTTTCCACAAATATACAAATGAATATGAAAAAAATTCTATTGTGTTTTCTTTTTGGCTTCAGCTGATGTTTTCTGCGGATTGATAGGACTGCACATACTGTAGTCCCTTGATCAGGGAGTCCTTGGCAACATTAGAACCTAGCCTGGCTGCTGTGGACATTTTATCAACATTAGATATTACTATCTCCTCTGCAGCTAAAGGACTATTCAAATAATTAAAAAAGGAACACCTACTTGATCTATTTCAAGCCTTTGTCATTGCTGTATTCTGTACAGAGTGATAGCACCAAGTGAAGAGCTATAGTGACCTTCACAATTAAGTCGTTTATGCAACAAGATATATTTTTACAAGGGCAATTACCATCAGCATATGCGCTATAGGTATGGCCAGATGGCTAGCAGGAAGGCTATAAACAGGCCGGAAGATAACCTTTAAATTCACTTATTGTATTATTAATCCACTGTGACTGTTATGTTGCTCTGAAGTCCAACCTCGTTATTTTTCAGAGGAGCAGACGCTTTTTCATCTCTGTCAGCTGAGTAGATTGAGATGACACTCGAGTGGCATCTTACAATTATAAAATGTCCACCAAAGATATTTAATTTAAAAAGACAAATGTTTGATGTAGGAACGGAGATGCAGCGACTAAAACTGACCGACAAACAAAATGGCTGCCAACACTCACACACATAGAGAAAGAGAAGATAGAGACACATACAACCCGATGTGCATAAAACTAAGATGTATGTTTCACTCGCCACATCCAAGCTCTACACAGTATCTTACCCTTGAGGTCATTTCCCCTCACATATCGATTAGTATGTCTTACAGCCTTCTAATGTTTCCACGGTATAGGTCTTCAGATAAAAATAGGCAAAATCCAAAAGGACAATAACATAATTTTCTAACCTTGATTTTCCTCCAATGTGATCACTGCCATAAATCGCACAGGAAAATGGAAAGGAGGAGTATATTCAGCATTATATAAGACATTGTTACTTGACCAAACATAACCTGGGTAAGCATCGATTATGTATACTTTAGTTGAGTATTCGACATACTTAAAACAATCAAATACTTACTGATGCACAGTAGAATTAGAAGGTGCGGTCCAGTCTGTGTGATCTTTTTTTTGGTAAAGTGAAAATGAAAGAAGAAGGCAGAGAGGGAGAAATATAAATGACAGCGGAGAGGAAGGATATTAAAGAAGAGTGGAGCAAAATAGATGGGGTGGGGGCTGGTAATCTTCTCCAGTTAGTATGTGATTGGATAGGCTGTGAAATATGCCGTTCCTCGGGGATAGAATGTGCCGGGAATGGAAATAAGGGCAGCTCCATATCTAGCCTTATTGTTCCCATGGTGTTTACACTGAGGTGCCAGGAGGGTGGATAGATAGATAGGATAAGATGAACGTTCTGTAAAAAAAACGTTTTTTTACAGAACATAGACATTTGAATTTAGCCGTGTTTATTGCTCATCCAAAATACTGATGAATGTGTTCGGCTTTACTCCAATGCGATTACTGCCAGACTAGAAATATATCATATTTTACAGCAACTTTTCTCGTGGCAAAAAAAAGATAATACTGATAATCAGCAAGGCAACAAGCATCAATAATGGAGTAATAAAGTGTGTGTATCTTACTACATATACGCAGGTTGATATATAGTTGTGTCTTTTTAATTACTTTTTTTCCCTGTTCTTCTTCTTTATTACCTTCATGTTTACTCTGAGTCAAAAGGTCATGGTTTCAGCATCATGATGACAAACAAAGGAGCATGGGACGCTTGGGTGTGTGCACAAAGGAAAACCCATGTGTTAGCAAATGGACGTTTTGAGGCAGCTGTTTGGCAGATGTTTTGATGGTAATGTCGGATTTCATACCTCCTTAAAATTAAGATTAGGATCACTTTTATTAATCCCTGTGGTGAATTCAATTTTTTCCTCTGGTGCTTTTTTACAATTACGGCCCGAAATACTGACACACACACATGCACAGGATATATATACATGAACAGGTGGCAGAGAGAAAATGGCTGCCCTGGGGCGCAGTTGAGGGTTCGGTGCCTTGCTCAAGGACACCTTGCACAACGACACCTTGCACAAGGTTACCAGTCCACACTGCATATTTTATTTTAGTCCGATTAGGACTCGAACCGGCGACACTTTGTTTCCCAAGCCAAGTTCCTACAGACAGAGCTACTGCTGCCCAATAAAATAAGATGCAATAAATAAGTAATGAAAGGATTACTTAAAGGGGACCTATCATGCAAAATGCACTTTTGTATGATCAAAAGTGCATTGCAGGGGGCGTGGTCAGCTGCAGCTCATTTGCCACAGAATCAGCCCTTGTGAAGACAGGGCTGGAATAGAGCGAAATGAGGCATGGCTAAAATGCATGATCTGTTTGGTATCTTCACAGACATGTTTTATATAGGTATGGCCCTACAATATATGTTTCAAATATAGCATGATAGGTCCACTTTAAGTCTAATTCCATGATAATTCATCAAACATTTAGTTTTGGAAGCAAAGTAAATACCCATTTGAGTTGGCCATGTATTATTTTCCAGCTCTGTTTAATTGGTTATTTGTTGAAATAGCGAAGAGGTCTTATAAGTGTCTGCTTGACAGTTGATTGATATGTTATGTCTTTGCAAAAGCAATTTATAATACAACATTATTCTGAACGTATGGTAAACTAAAGGTGCTAAAAACTAAACGGATAAAATATTCCTGGTTTGTTTGACATAAATGTATTTCCCCCACTTTATTACAGCTGACAGTCTTTTGGTAAATAGTTATAAATTAAAAGTGCCTCTCAAGTGGGATGGCCAACATTGAATTAGATAGGAATCTCTAGATA